GGATGGGCAAAGCAAGAGCAGCATATTTACAGCTAAAGAACATATGTAACTGAAAACAACTCTCTGTCAACCAACACCAAGGTTAGTATTTTCAATACAAATGTCAAGACAGTTCTACAGTATGGGGCAGAAACCTGGAGAACTACGAAAGCCATCATCCAGAAAATACAGGTGTTTAATAACAGTTGTCTACGCGAAATACTTCAGACCCGTTGGCCGGACACTATTAGCAACACTGTACTGTGGTAGAGAACAAACCAGCTTCCTGTGAAGAAAGAAATCAGGACGATGATGCGCTGGAAGTGTATAGGACACACATTGAGGAAAGCACCCGACTGCGTGACAAGACAATCGCTCACATGGAATTCTCAAGGCCAAATGGGAAGTGGAAGGCCAAAGAACACATTACGTCGGGAAATGGAGACAGGCATGAAAAAAATGAACAAGAATTGGATGGAACTAGAAATGAAGGCCCATGACAGAGTGGGTTGGAGAGTGCTGGTCGGCGGCCTATGCTCCATTGGGAGTAACAGGCGTAAGTAAGTAAGTAATAAACGCTTAACCTGTAGACCATTGAGTTGACATTCAGTTATGCTAATGTTTAACTTCAATCAATCTACAAAATTGCATCACCGTCCATCATATTCTTCAGTGATTTACTATATCATGATAGACCTTATTGTACTCTTCCGATCATGGCTTTAATTGACTCATAAATTCAAGTATTAAATTACCTTCCTAGTTAAATTTGTCCTTCAAAAACAAACAAACAAATTCATTGCCCACATTTGAACTATAGTTAGTTTATTATTTAATCCTATCCAGTTGTCATGTTTATAGTTTTAATGGATATAATGGATAGTTTATGAAGAGATATATTGATTTTCAAATCATTAGTAGTCAGTCACGTATAGAAAATGTCTGTGTTTTTTAATGTTCTATACCATATGAATTGTAGGATAGAAGAAGTAATTGGTATTTTACTTATTTAAATACAAACATTGGTACACGGGGACACCAAATATACAAATGTCACACTTTCTCAGTTACCTCCATGAATGACTTCAGTGCTTCAGCTGATTTATTATCTGGTTCTGCTGATCTCCTTGATTATGTTGAGATGACAGCTATGGGAAGATCTATGTGTGCTAGTTCGATGTCCGAGGCTAGTCTATTGAAGAGTTATTCAAAGTGCTTAATCCATCAGTTTCTCTGTAGTTAAATCTCAATGATTGGCTTGCCTATTTTGTTCTTGATAGTTTGCTCTGGTTTACTGTGTTTTCCTGTTAGTTTCTCCATTCATCGTATAATTAATTCGTATTTCCTTCTCTTACAGCTCATTCCGCTGTTGTTACTAGATCTTCTATTAATTTCTGTTTGTCAGCTCTAATGTTCCCTATCACAATCTTGTTTGCTTTAGTGTATTTATCCAGCTTTTGCCTTGAATTTCTTTGTTCTTGTTCGACTGATTTTAATTGCTGTTACTTTGTTTTTCCTTTCCTACCACTATCATTAACACCTCTCTTTTGTTGATAATAAGTAAACAGGTGCAAATTATCTAGGTTCAGATTTAAACTGTTGTGAGCTTTTCTTCAATAGATATTTTGTTGAGGATTCTTTTCCCTTTTTTCTATGATAATTTTACCGTTGTATAAATTGATAAAGTCTGTTGTGAAATATCAGCCCACTGAAGAAAATGGTGTAGGGTGGCGCGATTTTGTGGATTGATTGAAGTTAGACATTAACACCGTTGGATGCCAGCCGGCTCAATGGTCTAGTTGGTTAAGCGCCTGGCGCGAGACTGATAGTTCCTGGGTCCGAATCTCGCGGGGTCGTGGTCGTGGATATGAACTGCCGAGGAGTCCCATACGAAACGGCCATCCAGTGATTCCAGTTTTTCCATGGTGATCTAGCTTCAATTGACTCATGATTTCAACTATTGAAATGACTGAAATCTCCACAAAACCCTTTCTTATTTACGTGTACTATATGACTTGTTATAAATCTAATGAATCTTTTAAAAATATGGTCAGTATCTCACTCAGTCGATTACATCAAATTTTTTTCTGGAATTTTCAAAACTCTCGCGTATTATCAAATCCCCACGGTGTATAATACTTTCACCTTTAATGAATAATTGTCATAGCTACTACGAAATATTTAGAGATATCCACTTTTTTTGTTAAACCTATTCAATTATTGTCGGTTGAAGTGTGGTATAAATTTTAGACATATTAAAAAGCTTGTGATTTAAGGCTATATCAAGGCCATCCACACAGGATGCACATATATCAACATGAGATTGATCAATTACAGTCCCACGTAACAATGGGTAGGTACAAGTAAAACAACACCAAGTGAATTTAAGCGTCACTCTATTTCACAAGCAGGTGGTTATCAGGACTCAATAACTAAGTGGATTGCTCGATGGCGTTTGAAGCGAACGGTACTGGGTTCGAGTCTCGGAGTGAACACCGACAAGTCTGTGATGCAGGTACACGTAGCTGACGAGTCCCAAATAGGACGAAGTGGCGCGCTTAAAACTGGATTCCACTGTTAGGCACTATCCATGTTTGCTTAAACAGTATGTGACTTAAGGTTATATCGAAGCAATCCACGTAGATAATTAGAAAAGTTTTGTTAATTATTTCATTCAGTTTTGATTACTTACTGAATTCCTAGCATTTGTTACCTTCCAATGAAGCATAGTCTACCGATCATTATTGTTCAATCCACTCTGTCCTAATAATTGAATTCATGAATCAGTCAGTCAGTCAGCTACAACATAGGACCAAGCACATAGATGCATCGGTCCAAGTTGCCATACTTTACTCATTAGCACAACAAGATGAACACTGGATTCATAGAATTAGTTAATTCAATGGTGGTACTATATATATAAAAGAAAGATTTCATATAAGGATATAGTACAGGAAGAAAGATTTAGTATGTAGAATCAATTAAAACTAGATCACTATTAAAGAAAACAATCTCGAAGCATTAAACGGTTATTTCATTCTAATATGAGATTCTTCAACTGTACACATTCATGATTCCATCCTTACAGGGATTCGAACCAAGGACTTATTGAGTTTTACTATTTATTTTTCATTCATCTAATCAATTGCATCATCATCATCTTCAATGTAGATTTAAGTTGATTAATTCGTTTTAATTGGTATTAAATGTATGTAGGTGTTTGTTTTCTAACTTACCCACCCACCCACTTACCTACCTACCTACCTACCTAGTAATTGTACTTAGTTTTAATCATTATGAGTCATTTTATTCGCTTCTTTTTTTTCTTTTTACAAAATGTTTTCTTGAATAATAATGTGCCAAAAAAGTTTGTTTTTTTTACTAAGAAAATCTGAGATTATGTCATAGATTATTATTATTATTATTATTATTACCATTACTATTATTATTATTATTATTATTCTATGTCACTGTAATATAGATTGATATACTTTTTTGTTGTTGCCATGTTGATTATCAAGTTGATTGATTGATTGATTGATTGATGGAATGGTGCCAAATATAAAAATCAGAATCAATAAAAAAAGGATTCTCCCTTTTTGTTTCTGTATTGAAAAAAGAAAGAAAGAAACAATACTATTCATGATAATGATGATTTATTTATAATATGAGATATATATAACTAAACAACTAATTATCAATATATACCATTCTTGAAGATTTAATCATTGTTTTGTTAGATCTTGAATGGTAACTATTGTGATCTATTTCTGGACTAATACTATACATAATATATTTATTGTATGGTTACTAAGTGAATAAACTATGCATATTTATGTTCCTCTTATGATATGCTTTATTTTGACTTATAGACTATTATGATACCATTTATCATTCGTGAGTTATGCCCAATCTATCCATTACTATCTCTTACATCCACAACCACTTTTGGTTACTATCTTGTAAAAATGTATATTTTCTATTTTGTAATGCGATGTAGTCTATTTGGTTTGTATATAAACCCAGTATGATTGATATCGTGGAGGCTGAGACTGGTGTTCTGGACTCAATGGGCAGGCAGGGAGAACAACCGATTTGGACTCTAAACTGCTCGTACGATTTTACGCGTCATTAATAAATCATTGTTCTCTAATTGATGGTATAATTATGTTATCCATCAACAGGGTGCACCGACCACAAGTTATAACATTTGACACGAGTTCATTGTTTGTTGAGAAGAGATAGTCTTTAAACTAGTTTTTTTTCTTTTCTTTCCCACCCTAGATACATGAATTCGTCTTTTTTCTTTTCTTTTCTTAATCAAATCATGATTTTGTTTGTCTATTTGTTAACACTGTGATTAGTTTATCATTATCTTCTGTATCTTATGTAATTCATTGATTAATATGATGACTTCATGTTTGTTCATGTAATATATACAAGACATAATTTCCTATCTTTGTTCAACTTCTAAGTTCTTTGATTTTATTCCAAATCTTATAATGATACAAACTATGAAATTCAACAAACTAGTGACAACATTCAAACGTAAGAAACACCAAATGTGTTAACTACAGAGACAAACTTCCAGAGGTAATTCTCGAAATTCTAATGATGAATAGACATGAAATAGAAAGTTTACAAAGCATCCAATATTATATAATAGATCTATCACCAATTCCAAATGATGAACATTCCACATTGTGAATTCATTGAAATGATCTAAACGTTCAACAATTGTTGTAGTACAAAACATACGTTTAATTCCTGGTGGGTTTGTCTTTTTTCCATTAGGAGTAACAGGCCTAAGTAAGTAAGTAAGTAATTTGCTCACTTCTGAATAGTTACCTACTGCGATGAAACAACTGCATCGTACTTTCTGGTTTTTAACTTCTGCCTAACTAACTAAGATTACTTCACGATGCCATTTTTGAGCCTTTTTCCAGTATTATTATCATCAATGCAGATATATTATTTGACGTCGTTTTGTTTGCATTCTTCTTTTTCTTCTTATTTTCTAGCTTGTTTCTTCTCACATTATCTTGTATATAATACTACTTCCAACAATCATTCTAATACTGATAAAAGCAATCATAACTCTGAAATTGCTCATCAACCTAATTTACTTCTAATCAGTTTAAATGGTCTAATCTGGTATCAAGGGAATATATTAGCTGGTACTAATGATCCAGATCCATTGGGTCAATTAAATTGGCTTCGAAAAACATTTGAATGGGCAAGAAAACGAAAAGATAAAGTAAGTTTCTAATTATTTGGAATTATACTTTATTACATATTGGATGTATATATATATCAGAAAGGGGTTCTTGTGCAGGTTGTAGTTATTTCACTAATTGAGATCGTGAGTCAATTGAAACTAGACCACCATGGAAAACCGGGAAGGATTGGACGGCCGTTTTGTTACACATCCACCATTGTCATCAGTGAGTTATATATATATAATGATAGTGGAGCAACCCAAATACTCTTCAATTGAACTTGTATTATGTCTTTCGCACAGCAACTTTTTGTCGAGCTTCCTGAAATATTGAATCATATCTTATTATGATATCAACTCTCTGTCATTATTTATTTGATTTTTGAATCAATAAGATTCATTAATTAAATTAATTATTATAGAAGAATACAATTTGATCTTTTTTAAAAAAAAGATTTTTTGGTTTAAAAATTTTACGCTTATTACTCCTTGTGATAGAGCATAGGCCGCTCATCAGCATTCTCCATCCAACCCTGTCCCTTTCTAGCTCTTTCCAGTTGTTATTCATGCTTTTCATATCTGATTCTATTTCCCGATGTAATGTGTTCTTTGGCCTTCCTCTTTTCCGTTTCCATTCACGATTCCAAGTTATGGCCGACCTCGTAATGCAGATTGACGATTTCCGTAATGTATGTTCTATTCGTTTCCATCATCTTTTCCTAATTTCCTCTTCAGTTGGAATCTGATTTGTTCTCTCCCAGGAAAGGATGTTGCTGATGATATCCGGTCGATGTATGTTGAGTATCTTGCATAGACAGCTATTTGTAAATACTTGAACCTTCTTATTGATGGTTGTAGTAGTTCTCCAAGTTTCAGCTCCGTAAAGTAGAACTGTCTTGACGTTCGTACTGGAGATTGTGACTTTGATATTGGTTGAAAGTTGTTTCGAGTTGCTTATGTTCTTCAAGTGAAGGAATGCAACCCTTTCTTTGCCAATCGTCGCCTTTACGTCTGCATCGGATCCTCCTTGTTCATCGACGATGCTTCCCAGATATGTGAAAGATTCTACATCTTCCAGAGTTTCGTCATCAAATGTGATTGGATTGATGTTCTTTGTGTTGTATTTGAGGACCTTGGTTTTCCTCTTGTGTATGTTGAGGCCTACTGATGCAGAGACTGCTGCTACACCGGCTGTTTGTATAATTTGACCCAACACAAATGTATTGAATTTCATATTGTCATCTATCAATCATATAAGCAAATAGAAATACAGAATCAACACAATTATACTATTATGTTTGACTTTTTCTCCCATCATATGTCTTACTCAACAGCTCTTTTTTTCTCTTTACTTATTTATTTTTAAAGGTTTTACTTGTTAGTCATTTCCCTCCGGGTGCTTCAGAAAATGCTCCACAATGGTATCAATTTCTTCGTCCAGAAATCAATGATCAATTTGTGAATATATTAATTGATAATGCAGATTTATTAATGACTGGATTATTTGCCCATGAACATGTGGATAGTTTTCGATTATTAGTATCTAAATCAAGTTAGTATTCATACAATTTATTCATATAAACCATTGGTATCTTACTAGTTTGTTTAATCAGTTATTCTTATGAAGATGAATTAGTTTTCATACAGACTCACTAAAGACGTTTACTGAGGGCTGGGATACTGCCATGGTGCTTAAACTGAAGCAAGTAGGTTGGGAGAAGAAGATGATGATGTAGTCGGTCACCAACGATTAGTTCATACATCATTTGTTCTTTCGGAATATTGAAACCTATGTGGATCATTGGTTTGAAATGAAGATTTTCCAACTTCCTTAGGTGAACTCTCCGTATCCACTAATCTGGTTAAAGTATCGAACATTCGATTTTCATCTTGTGATTAAGATTTGTAATCATTTATCAAAAAAAAAATTTAATTCCTTCTCATAGAATCTTTTCATTTCTATTTCATTTGTTTTTAGATGTACCATTAGCATCTTTATTTCTTATGCCTTCCATTTCTCCATTAATGTTACATGGATTAGGTGATTTTAATCCACGTATTCGATTATATCGATTTAAACGTTCCACAATGACCCTATTAGGTTATTCACAATATTATTTTAATTTACAAAATCAATTATTCAATTCTGATCCATTCAATTATTGGCAATTAGAATATGATACAATGGATACGTATCATTTAACTGATTTATCTGCAAATTCATTCAATCTATTATGGTATAATTTCTCTAAAGAAGATAATCATTATTGGTCAAAATATTGGAATTATGAATTAGGCGGTCGACCACATGTATTCAAACCAAATTATCTTACAGAGAATGGTCTTTGTCCACGAGCCAAATCCCAATGTCGATGTGATCATTTATGTGCTATACGATTTTTGATTATATCCGATTTAACTAATTGTCTTCAATTATGTAAAGATATAAAATACATTCAAGACAATGAAGTAGTTGGCAATGGTGGTGATAATAGTCTTCAACATCCAATGTTTGCTGATGCTGATGCTGCTGTTGCTCCTGATTATCCTAATAAAAATAGCACCTATTTAAATCATTCAATTAACAATCAAACAAGTATTACAAATTCTAATGAACGTAGTAGTCTACCATATATTATTGGTGTGATTGTTGCCTTTTTAGTGGTATTAGTCGGTATTGTTTTAATTGTTAATCGTGAAGTATGTAATCGACATAGAGTTTATCATCAGCGTACATCATTACTGGCCAGTGTAATCGGTATCAATGGAACTAATCCTGGAAGTATCGGTGGGAATGGTCTATTTTTAAATACAATTAATGGTGCATTACCCAGCTCTTCATTTCTTCATGGATCATGTTCAGTTGCTAAAGATAACGATCATTGTACCGGTGGTTCGTGTATTGAATTGCGTACAGCTTTTCATCCATCCTATGATGATTTCTATTCGGAATATCTTAATAAATCTGTCACATCTTTAAATGCAATCACATACTCCAACGGTACTACTACTACTACTACTAATAATAATAATCATAAAGAATCAGATCGAATGATGAATCAATACAATGTAGAGAATTCCTTTGCTCCATTGGAGCATAATGATACAATCCTGTCACCATCTCATATGAATTCCTACTATGAAAATCCTAGTGATAATAGTAATAATAATAATAATAATAATAATAATAATAATAACCAAAGCATAAAAGAAAAGTATATTAGTAAACGATATTCCCTACCGAATTATGCTTATTTTAAAAAATATCTATCTAGTCATATTAATCCAACTGGTCGAATGGTGTATGTAGTGAATCAACTGTTTGATCGTTGTGGACATACTAGTAGTCGGGTAAGTCATATACACAATAATGATACTGTTAATAATAGTAATAATATGAATGCAAACACTACTAATACTAACATTGGTAATTGTAATGATACTGAACAATATGTGTTGAATAAAATCTTATCAACTGATGAGAAAAGTTATACAACATCTGAAAGATCATCCAATAGTCAACATACACAGTCACAAAACATTTATCATCATCATCATCATCATTATCAGAAAGAGGATCTTCATTATCGTCAAAACAACAGTTGCCTTCCTGAAGATTATTATGCTGATGATGAAGCGTTCGGTGATGAAGACTATAATGATCTTCATCATAATACTCATGTTTATTATCATTCACAGAAAGATCAGAACAACAAAGCAAATAATATCTGTACTGATACAGTTGCTGATAGGGATAATCATCAAGATCAAAGAGAGTTATCAATATTATCACAAACTGGTTATCATCAATTAACTAGTAATAAAAGGCCTAAATTGAATCAAATAAAAAAACAATTCAGTTCTCATCGAAGTCACCATTATCATCATCATCCTCCTCCTCCTCCTCATCATCATCATCATGAACAACATCAACATGATAATGATGTTCATCGTAAAAGTAGTACCAATGATGAAGATCATGATTCAATGAATGATCATCTTTTTCATTATGATCAAGAATCAAAACTTCTTAATAATAATAATAATGTTCATATTGGTAGAAGAAAATATTTCAAAGATCATAAATTCACATTTTGTCGTACAAAATCAACTAATCCAAATGATTCATTCAATAAACATCATGTTATAAATCATTCATCATTTTCATCATCCTATTCTTCACCTTTAAAATCATCTCATTCTATAGTACATAGTCAATCATTAATTCTAAATGAAATGAATCCTAATACTACTAAAGACAATACTACTTTATGTAGTAGTAGTAGTATTAGTAGTAGTGGTAGAAAACATAAATCTAAACATAATCTACATAATATATCAACATCTTCATTGACATGTTTACCAAATGAATTAGATATTCATTTAAACAATAAAATGAAAATGATTCAACAACAAAATTTTGATCATCATCTATATCAACAGTCACATTCAAGTTATACATCACCGTCTAAATATCGACCACAATTTTCATTATCATCAATACCATTATCGCGAACACCAAAACATAATCACGATCACGATCATGATCATGATCATCACTTGTATCCGGATCAACATACTCTTATTTCATTTTCATTACCAAATCAAACGGATCAAAAATTATCATTGAATTTAGATCATTTAAATAGAAATAATGATAGATTACAACATGATGATATGAATGATAGAAATCATTTAAGTAGTAGTAGTAATAATAATAATAATAATAGTAACATTATCTCTTTAAAGAATTTCCCCTCAACTACAAAAAATGTATCCATTGTAAATATACCTAAATGTGATTATGTTCGATTGTCTAGTTAATTATTGTTTTTGGCCTATTGTATTTGTTTATCTATGTAAATATAATCTATCTTTTATTGTTTCTCACTTTGTTCCACCCCCCTCTCTATCTCTCCCTCTTGTTCTCGTTCTCGGTCTCATTCTCCCTTCCTTTGAATATTAATATGACATATTGATGAGTCATTTGAAGAAAAAAAAAAGAAACGCACAAATTTACACATAATAAATGATTTGTTTTTTATATATATGGGGGTTTGTGTGTGTGTGTGTGTTATGTTGAATATGAAATCCTTTGAAAGGTATTTACACCTTTTTATTTATCCATTCTTTGTTTGTTTGTTTGGTATCTGTTTTGTTCAAATGTTAGTCTTGTCGTCAAAACAAAAAAGAAAATACACAACTATTTAATATAATCTTTCTATGTTATATGGATGCGTATGCATAATGCTTATTCTCAATGAATTCACCTCCCTTTCCATACTCCCCCGTCTCCATCATGACAACTATACATTTATGTACTCATTTCTTTCTTTTTTCTTTCAATAACATAACTACTTTTCAATCCTATTTGAAGAGAAAGGGAAAGTATTTGCTCTATCTAGTCTGTTGATTAATATAAGAGAATGTAATTATGGTAATGATGATTATTCATTTATGGATATTATTGTATCCATGTAATGAATTAGTTCGGTTATTCAGGTAGTTTTGATTACAAATAATTTACAATTATTATCAATGATATTTTAATTTAATTTTGTTGATTATTAAAAACTGATTGCTCATTGTAGGCTTTTTTTTTTCATTCCTTCCTTCCTTCTTTCTTTCCTCCCTTACTTCCTTCATTTTTTTCTTTCTTTCTTTCTTTCTTCGTCTTCTTTTATCCAAAATAAAATCCAATCAGTGTTATGTGTATATTGTAGGTGTACTTATAATGATTTCATTTTTATACTGATCCTCTTTATTGTATTCCCTTGTTGTTGGCCTGATTTTTCTCAACTTCTATACTATGTGTAATTTAATTAGGCGATTGAGGTTATGTTCAAGTCAACTTTCATTGATATAATATACAATAATATTAATAATGAACAAGTAGAATAAAACAATCTATTTGTACATATATCTATATATTTAGTGTTATTCTATGTTTTTGAAAGTGAAATGTGTTGTTTTTAGATCATGATGTCAGCACAGATACAGAAGGTTCGACTAAGTTTTGCCAAATTGCGTCGTTTATGGCGTAGGCGAGATACCCGTCTACAAACCAAAGGACGGGTTTACTGTGCAGCAGTTCCTTCCGTTCTACTTTATGACATTGAAACATTACCATTTAGAGTAGAGGATGTTCGTAGGTTACTAGTTTTCGATCATAGGTGTCTTCGAAACATTGCTCGTATATCCTGGGACCACCGAGTAAGTAATGCAGTTGTGAGGAAATGGGTACTAGGTAAGCATGGCGAATGGATTGATGAAGTTGAGATGGCTGGGACACGTGTTACGTATGCCCAACCACCGACTGCCTCGACGTGCTATGTTCAGTGGTATAGGAGTAGATTGGAAGAAAGCTAGTGACAGTCAGACCAAAACATGGCACAAATGCATGAAGTCACTGACAAGCGTGTCATGTTGTTAAGTGTAGACTATCTGGTTGAGGACCACGAGATGATAGCAACCGATAGTTAGAGACCTTGAATGACATGGCTGAAAATCGTTTGCAATGGCGCAGGTTCAGGTCCACACTTTGTGTTCTCTCAAATTCTAATCTTCTGAATTCTTCATGTCCTTTTCTTTTTTCTCTTTCCAAATTTATTTAACCGTGTTATACTCCTTGAATAACATGTTAAAACCTTAATGTTTCCGATTGCTGTTTATACTATTACTACCTCTACCACTACGGAATTTGAGTGGAAAACTGCATCTCTGTGCCAATGTGGTATATCGACTCGGACTGATGTACGTACATACGAAGTTCTACATTGTTACTGACTGCCTGACCGACTACTTTGATATTTTCTAGTCTCCAACGACTACAATGAAGACGCTAAAGATCAATTCTACAATAGGCTGCAGTCAATCATCGAGAAGTGTCCAACAAAGGACCTGACTATTCTGATGGGAGATTTCAATGCCAAGGTTGGAACGGACAACACTGGATATGAAGATAGCATAGGACGACACGGACTGGGAAAAAGGAACGAAAATGGTGAGAGATTTGCAAACTTTTGTGCCTTCAATCACCAACATTGAAGAACGGCGAAACAGGTGGGTAGAGCACTTCAAAGAACTCTTGGATCGACCAGCTCCACTGAACCCACCCAACATCGAAGCAGCACCCACGGACCTCCCAATGGATGTTGGCCCATCAACAATTGAAGAAATCAGCGTGGCCATTAGACAAACCAAGAGTGGCAAAGCAGGCGGACCAGACAACATTCCAGCAGAGGCACTAAAAGCAGACGTAGCATTAACTGCAAGGATACTTCACATTCTCTTCAATAAGATTTGGAATGAGGAAGAAGTACGAAAAGACTGGAAAGAAGGACTTCTGATCAAAATACCGAAGAAAGTCGATCTCAGCAAGTGTGATAAGTACAGGGGCATCACTCTCCTCTCAATACCGGGTATTGTTAAACAGGATGAAGGATTGTGTAGACGCCCAACTTCGAGACCAAGAGGCAGGATTCCGTAAGGATCAATCGTGTACAGACCAAGTCGCAACTCTACGGATTATTGTGGAACAATCATTTGAATGGAATTCATCACTCTACATCAACTTCATTGCCTACGAAAAGGCATTTGACAGAGTGGACAGAACAACACTATGGAAGCTTCTTCGACAGTACGGCGTGCCTGAGAAGATAGTCAATATCGTACAGAATTCATGTGATGGATTGCACTGCAAAATCGTGCATGAAGGACAGTTGACAAAGTCGTTCGAAGTGAATACCGGTGTTAGGCAAGGTTGCTTACTGTCACCCTTTCTCTTTCTCCTGGAGATCGACTGGATGATGAAGACGTCAACATGTGAAGGGAAGCACGGGATACAATGGACATCTAGAATGCAGTTGGACGATCTAGACTTCGCAGATGATCTGGCCCTTCTGTCGCAAACGCAACAACAGATGCAGGAGAAGACGAACAGTGTGGCAGCAGCCTCAGCAGCAGTAGGTCTCAATATACACAAAGGGAAAAGCAAGATTCTTCGATACAACACAGCATGCACCAATCCAATCACAATTGGCGGAGAATATTTGGAAGATGTGAAAACCTTTACATATTTGGGCAGCATCATTTATGAACAGGGTGGATCTGATGCAGATGTGAAGGCGCAGATGGGCAAAGCAAGAGCAGCATATTTACAGCTGAAGAACATCTGGAACTGAAAACAACTCTCTGTCAACCAACACCAAGTTCAGGATTTTCAATACAAATGTCAAGACAGTTCTACAGTATGGGGCAGAAACCTGGAGAACTACGAAAGCCATCATCCAGAAAATACAGGTGTTTAATAACAGTTGTCTACGCGAAATACTTCAGACCCGTTGGCCGGACACTATTAGCAACACTGTACTGTGGTAGAGAACAAACCAGCTTCCTGTGAAGAAAGAAATCAGGACGATGATGCGCTGGAAGTGTATAGGACACACATTGAGGAAAGCACCCGACTGCGTGACAAGACAATCGCTGACATGGAATTCTCAAGGCCAAATGAGAAGAGGAAGACTGAAGAACTTATTACAACGAAAAATGGAAATAGCATGAGAAGAGTGAACAACAATTGGATAGAACTAGAAAGGAAAGCCCAAGCGAAAATGTGTAGGAGACTGTTGGTCGGTGGTCTATGCTTCATTGTGTGTAGCATGCGTAAGTAAATAAGTATTCTATTTCAGATCATAAACAAAATTCACCTTTATATACTGGAAATGGCTTCTATAGAATACTTAAATTCATATTTCACTATTGTCGTCCTATCAACTAGTTCATGTATAGGTATAGTGACAAAATCATTTTCATTGTTTGGTAATACCTACAATGTCGTATCTTAAAAATATAAATCGTAACTAAATCAATGTGATGCCAATAATGAAATGCCAGCAGCTGACAAATTCATAACTAATTAATGATAGTTTCTTTTCAATGGTGTAGAATCATCCAAATATTATGGTCATGTGTTTATATCATATTTTACGTTTATAACAGATGAAATGAATTATATAGTTTCATAAATATTGCTATTGTAATTATGAACTGGTCAATGTTAAAGCATTATTAGAAATCTGGAAGTACTAGACGGTCTTTTCGTCCTATTGTGGGACTCTTCATCAGTGAGTATCCATGACCCTTCCTCACGAGATTCGAGCCCAGGACCAATCAGTTTTGCGCGTGAGCACTTAACCTCTAGACCACTGAGCCCGTTGGCATTCAGCAGTGTTAATGTCTAACTTCAACCAATCCACATAATTACACCACCGTCCATTATTGTCTTCAATGAGTTACTATCTCACTATAGACCCAGTTGAACTCCACTGGTCACTGCTTCTTATTAGAACTCCAGGATATACCTCTTAAAGCCTATCATTAATGAGCACGAATTGATAAAAAGAAAAATTAGCAACAGCCTGAAATTAATGTAAATAGAACAAATCACAATGAGGATATTATTCAGTGAATACATACATAATCCATTAGAATCTATCTATCAATCATTCTATTTAATTGTCCATATATTTATCTATTCATAAACCCCTATTTATGTGTAGACATTTAACTAATTATGATAGTTGGGAGTAATCAGCACATTTATTGATTCAATCTTTGCACATAATACATTTCTATTGATTCTACATCATTGTAACATCTTTATTATGATAGGTAGTTACTTGTCTGGTTTATTCAATACTTGTTTTGTATTATTATCTGAATTTATTGTTAAAGTATTTCTAAATTAAGATTGTGTTTATTCTGAACTGAGATTATGTTATAGTGAATAAGATTACATAAATGGGGACAACCCTTGGTATTTG